TAGAGGAACTAGGTGTCTTCAGGCATTCAGAGGACATTGGAATTTCTGTTGAGGACTTAGAACCGTCCTTTCTGGTGAAGAAATCAAGTGGAGGCTCCCGGCTGGTAACAGCCCTTGCTGATGTAGGGCACTATGGTAAACCTCAACCTGATGTGGACTCCACTTTACGCCACATCCCAAAATGGAAACACTTAATCGCCACCGACTTAAAAAGTGCCTTCTATCAAATACCTCTCGCTCAGGACTCTATGAAGTACTGTGGCATCACAACACCATTCAAAGCGGTCAGGGTTTATGTACGCTCCGCGATGGGCATGCCTGGATCGGACACGGCTCCTGAAGAGCTCACATTCAGTGTTCTTGGTCAACCTCTACAAGATGGAGTACTTGCCAAAATAGCAGACGACCTCCATTGTGGCAGAGACACCCCTCTCAAGCTGCTGGAGAACTGGCAACAGGTCCTCCAGGCCTTCTACCAATGTGATTTACGTCTCTCCACATCTAAGACCGTCATTAACCCTAAGTCGCCAACAATACTTTGATGGAACTGGAGCTCTGGAACCCTACATGCTAGCCCTTATCGTGTCGCTACCCTAGCTTCCTGTCCCGCACCAGAGACAGTAGGTCGCTTGCATTCCTTCATCGGCATCTACAAGGTCCTCGTTAGGGTAATCCCTAAGTGTTTGACATTTCTGGCCCCACTTGACGACACAGCAGCTGGTCGACTGTCCAACGAAACCATTACATGGTCCGATGACCTCAGAACCGCATTCCATGCAGCCCAACATGGTCTATACACTAATCGCCCCATCATCCTCCCAAGACCTGATGATCTGCCTTGGATAGTGACCGATGGAGCAGTTAGGAAACCCGGTATCAGTGCCACATTATACGTAAGCTGTAGGGGCCAGCTTCTGCTCAACACTTTCTTCAGCGTGAAGCTCAGAGGTTCCCAAGTTTCTTGGCTACCATGAAGTAGAAGCTCTCTGCATTACCATTGCCACGAAACATTTCATTCCCTACATCATCCAGTCCAACCACAATGCATCCATCCTTACAGATAGCAAACCATGTGTCCAAGCATTTGAGAAACTATGCCATGGCAAATTTTCGACCAGCCCACGCGTTTCTACCTTTCTCTCAGTCGTAAGTCATTTCCAAGTGTCAGTTAGACACATCTCTGGCTGCACCATTGTACTGTCCGACTTCGCCAGTCAAAATGTGCCCCCTTGACAAGATCCCACCTGCCAAGTGTGCACCTTTATACATTATACTGAAGAATCCGTAGTTCGACAGGCTTCAATTCAAGACATAAACATTGGCAATGTGAGACTACCGTTCACCAGCCATGCATCTTGGTTGGCTATACAGTCCGAGTGCAAAGACCTCTGCCATACGTATGCTCACCTGGCCCAAGGGACAAGACCATCAAAGAAGCTCACTAATTTAAAGATGTAGAGATACTTAAATGTTGTGACAATCACTAAGAATGGTTTATTAGTAGTCAAACGTGACAAGCCCTTTGCTCCTTTGCAAGAGTGCATCGTTATCCCTCGTCAAGTTCTAGACAGCCTGTTAACAGCCTTACACATTAGGTTAAGCCACCCTTCAAGTCATCAACTTAAGCTGGTCACTAAACAATACCTCTTTACCTTAGACATGGATAAAGCAATAGAGCGAGTAGCTCAGAGTTGTACCTGTTGCTTTGCTTTAAGCCACACTCCACGAGCTCGCGTTGAGCAGTCTTCAAGTGAGCCGCCCGCTGCTGTCTGCTTCTCCTTTGCAGCCAACATCCTCAAACATTCTCAACAGCTTATTCTAGTCTTGCGAGAATGTGTAACATCTTACACCTCTACACTGGTACTTGAGGATGAACGCCATCATATATTACGAGATGCCCTCATTCGCCTTTGCATTCAGTTACGCCCTCTAGACTGCCCTCCCGCCATCGTCCGAACAGACCCTGCTCCTGGATTCAAGGCCCTCATTAACAATCAGCAGTTACAACACCACAGAATCATTCTTGAGATAGGAAACTCCAAGAACCACAACAAGAACCCTGTGGCAGAAAAGGCTGTACAAGAGCTGGAGACATAATTCCTTCGCCTAGAGCCTCTCGGTGGTGCAGTGACTGAGGTTAGCCTGGCAATATCAATGGCCAACTTGAATTCTCGCATCTGTTCCTGCGGGTTGTCTTCTCGAGAAATGTGGTCTCAGCATGACCAGTTCTCGAATCACCAACTCCCCTTGTCTGATCAAGACCTGATAACCACGCAGCATGACCAAAGGCAACCCAATCATCCTCACAGTATGAAATCCAAAGCCCCTTTGGCTCACCCATGACCTTCTAGCAAACTTGAAGTCGGTGACCTCGTATATATTTACTCTGACAGAAACAACTCAAAGGCAAGGGACCGTTATCTGGTGAAGGCGACTTCTGCAATGTGAGGAAGTTCACCGGTTCCCAGGTACGCAGCACTTCCTGCCGAGTAAGAAACTCAGAGTGCTACCGAGTACCTGGGGAACTCTCAGAAAACTACTACCTGCAAACGCAAGATGACTCCTCTGCAGATGAAGAGGACCCGATCCAACCAGAACCCATTCCACCCACTCCACCAGATATTCCGCAGACGATCTCTTATCCAGCAGATCATAATATACCAGAGCCAGGTGAAGGTGACTTTGCTCCAGGTCCAAGCATAAGCGACCCTGAGGATTCTCGCTTTGCCCAACCTGGGGAAATGCCATCTGTTTCCACCAAAGTCGCTCACCAGCCTGGACGTTCAATGCGCCACTGTCAGCCCCCAGCACACTACAATGACTACAGGGCTCGAAATTAACAACATCCTTAAGTCATCATTTGGCGACTACGTGGTAAAAAATAGTTGCTAAATGTAAAATTTTAGTCGCAAAATCAAATAGAAGAGACACAATCCATAGACATACATGACAAACTCAATACTCAAGGGTTTGCAATGTATTATAGGGCAATTTCGAACAGGGGTAGCCATTTTGAAGTTTTCGAGAGAGAAAGAGAGAGAGAGAGTCGTTTACTTTAGTGTGCCTTAGAATAATCAAACATGGTCATCCAGTTGGTGATCAAAGAATCGTGGGTTTGTTTTATTACATCTATTCAAATAAATTGTTCTTTCATCCACAAGTAATGTTCTTTTTCCTTTGAGATTACTGCTAGCCCTTTTAATTTGCGTCAGTCAAGACAAAACCTAGTCACAAATTTGCAACTACTCCCGTTTTTCTAGTTGCAAACAAGTAAAGTTAAGTCGCAAATGCAACTGTATTGGTCACAATTTTGAGCGCTGGACTATATTACTGACTTTCAAGTATACCTAATGTGGTGAACAGAGCGTTACGTGCAAGGCTGCTGACATCACGAGAACTTGACTACTGTTTTGTTAGTTAGCAACTTACCCTTGTCAGGAGACAGTCATTTATCCAAGAGGGGACACACACTTAGTATGTTCATATTCTGTAGTCGGATACTATTCATATGTTCATGTTCGTTAGTTAAAATATAAACGACTGTTAGTAATTAGTCAGCCCTTAAATTCACAGGGGACAGTAGTTTTATGGCTTTTCATCGGTAGGAGAAAAGAGCAGTTACGCCAGTACCGGTCAGCAGTACTTTGTTAGTTTCGCTGCGTGCCCTTGTTGTGCCCTCCTCTGCCATGTTGTGTTTTGGTTCACACATGTATTAGATTTACTTGTTAACTACCGGCGAAGGTTAGCGCATCTATCTTCTTCCTTGCCTCCTTCAGTCTTCCCAGTCCTCAATTCCAAGGATGTTTTCTGGAAACTCCAGGGGGACATCTTCCGTGTCCTCACTTTTAATTGATGTTGTATTGTTTTGGGAAGCTCCTGTACAGTTACAGATGATATGTATACGTACAACCAGGTTAACTTGGTATTGGGGTGCGTCACTCTGGTCAGAGGAAGGTGTCCGTTATTGGGATTAAGCGGACCATTGTAAGGGAACATAAGTAGGGTTTTGGATAAGCTAAAAACAGAGGGGCTTAAATAAGGGTAGCTTATAAGTGGAAGAAAAAAACGTTTCAAAATGAGCTTCAGCAATTACATTTGCCCATAATACTATAAAATATGCATTTGGTGAAATGAAACAGGCAGGGTAGTTAGGTTTTGCAATTGTCCGTGCTGTCAATAGCCTTAATTTGAAACAGAGACTGTGGTTAGGTACCAATAGTTATGTTAGTGTGACCACATATTTTACTTCTTTCACCACATTAATACAATCATGTATTTTACTTGCTTTCCTTCAGTACGTTAGTATAACCGCCTATTTGACTTGCCTTCTTTCAGTACATTAGTACGATCAAATTTTACTTACTTTCTTTCAGTAGGACATTAGTATGACTGCATATTTGACTTGCTTTCCTCCAGTACGTTAGTACATAATAATGTAGATGTAAATGCAAAGTTGTGGGGTTTATCATGTAGAAATGTTTGAACGTCTGATCGTAGAGCTGTAGAGTTCAATGTGTGATCATATGGCCGTACAGCCATAGAGCCATATAGTTCATTATCTAGATATGTGTGAGCCATAGTGCTGTAGAGCCGTACAGTTCATTACTTTGAAATGAGTGATCGTAGATCCGTAGAGTTCATTATTTAGAAATGTATGGAGTTCATTATCTAGATCATAGAGCCATAGAGCCATACAATTCATTATCTAGATATGTGTGATTGTAGAGCCCTGGAGTTCATTATGTACAAATGATCATTAATGAACAAGTTCAGTGGTAGGGTTGAATAAAAATGTCTACAACAACAGACCAAAAAACAGTTGGCAACCATGGTAACATGCCACCATTTTATATGTACACACAAGAGAAGAAACTCAGTGATCCGTGATAAACGCGTGGAGGTGTAGTGCACTACAAAAACTTCTATGCCTATTCAAGCTTCATAAAACAGGCTGGGTATAACTAAGTTGTAAATATTCCAGTGTAACATTAAGTACCAACCATTTGATTAAGGGCATCATGAGCTTCATTTTCTGAAAGGTTGGAAATTACTGCAGTAAGAATGCCATGGCACTTCTCTAATCTCTGAAATTGAACAGTCAGAATAACAACTGTTAGTAGAGGTATAAAGATACTGCAATTTGATTAGCTGAGCTACTTGTATTCCCATCAGCCATCAGCCAATCATATCACCCATTAGCTCACAGTAGCTGGTCAGGAGGTACTTTACAAAATGGAGATGCTTTCTAATTCTTAAGAAAGATTTAAAAAAACAGTAAGTGCTCAAATTTAGCTGTCTTTGAGTCATCTGAGATGACCTAAACGTTTACCAGGCAGATGATGAGCTGTATGAATTTTGCAATAATTAAAACCTTGACTGAAATTTTTAAGATGGGAAACAGACAGGAAAATTAAGAAGAATTTGAGTGCTGCATTTCCCCATGATATAACGCTATATAAATAACGTATAGTCAGGTAGTTATGTGCAGAATATTACATGAATTGTGCACTTTCGGCTAAAAGCGTGAAATTTGGTGTAAGTGTAGGGTTTTTATGCCCATCAACATCTGATATGGAGCCAGTGTAAAAATGTACTCAGTGGGGTGTTATAGGGGTGTTTCCAACATGGCCGCCATTTTGACCGGAAGTAGAATGTAAAATTACCGGAAGTTATCAGAGGAGAATCAAAACACCCTGGAAAGACATTTTGTCTTAATCCAAGATACAAAAATGTCTTATTTAAATGTTGAGGGAGGAAAAAAGTGAAAAACATGGGCAATGCATCCTATATTCCACAATGACAGCAACACCGAAAGTGAGAAGGCCCTTGATTATGAAATGTTTCGTTTGAGAACAAGCATATGATAAGGTTGAGAGTGATTGTGCAATGCGCTCTCTTATACTTATATTCAATTTTATATTTATACTTATACAAGAAACAAGAATACTTAAAAAAATACAGCCCTATCTTGCAATTTATGACATCTATTTATTTTCCTGTAAACTACTTCAATTTAATCTTAAGGTCAGCTTGCATTGAGGTTTTGTTATGCACCGATATAGGATAGGAAAAAAAGTGTGTAAAAGACTTGCCGCAAAATTTATTTACAACTTACGGTGTCAAAACAGTGGAGCATTTCTGCTCAAACAAAATTGGCCGGGAGAGACTGGTTCAGTTACCCACAGTACTCCATGGCCTTAAAAGTTTTGGCATGGATGGCAGCCAATTAAGTATTTGTATGTTTTTTTTCCCATCAAATGCAAGCAAACAGAAAACGTTTTGTGTCCCTTACTGAACAGAACCGAGTGAAATTATAATGAACACTCCAAGTAGAGTTTGGCATCATTTCAATGCAAAGAATGTAGCGAATCTAGTAATAGTGGCCAAAATTTAGATAATCAAGAGATGAAGCAGATATAAAATTATATCATTTCCTCAAAGGCCATAAAGCAGGATGACCAAGGCAGCTCGAGCATCATTTTTCCTAAACGTTTAGTCATTCAAGAGCAAGTATTTATTGCGAGTTTTACTTCATTTAATGACCACTTTCATCCATTTCAATTAAAATATTTAGGTCCGATTGAGTACGTTTGAATGAATTTTATTTCTTAACGTGACATCTATAGTCAGATTCATTAAGCTGGTCATGTCAATGGTAGGACGAATAAACCGATTGGCAGGGAATCATTTTTCTAGTATTTTTCAATTAAATTCACAGCCAAATGATGAACGAAAAGTCAGCAAGTTCAAAGACTGGCTGGAATCTAAGTGTTGTATGTCAAGGGAGTAAGGCCGAGACACTTCAGTGCCCTGTAGACTCAAAGAGGTCAGATGTTGGGGCAGGTTACAAGACCCTTGCAGAAAATAATCACCAATTTAATCAACTGGGATGAATGCCAGTTCAAATAAACTTATCTACACTGAATGAAGGTGACGGAATAGAAAGTACGTTTTTGCGTTACAAGGCCCGATAGCATAAGAGTTACTATTTGCCAAAAAAGAGCATGCTCCAACACCACATGAATCAGTGAACAGTAAATATACCCGATCTAGTGCCTCAACCTCTTCACAGGTAGACGACTCGGAGAAGAGTTGCTATTTTTGTGTTCTGCTGGGTGCCTTGAAAAATCTGCTTCGTAATGTTTGCACTTTTGAATTGGATGCTAGTGTCCGGAAATGTGCCTTTGTTCTTCAAGATCAGAAGCTGTTGGCCAAATTGAGTGCCAGAGATTTGCTAGCTTTAGAAGCAAGCTATCATTCTTTGTGTATAACTTCGCTGTACAAGAGAGCTGAAACAGTTTGCATAGACGAGGCCGCTGATACCAAATTTCAGCTTGAAGGTACTACACCTGCAGCGTTTATCACCTATATTGAAGATGCTCGTGAATCCAGAGATTCAATTACTGTATTCAAATTGGTTGATCTAGCTAATGTGTATACCACACAGATGGAGCAGTTGGGTGCAGATAAAGGCCCGTGTCCATACTACACGACTAAAAGAGCACCTTTTATCCCACATTCCTGAGCTTGAAGCCTACAAACAAGACTGTGACATTTTCCTTGGTTTCAAGGAAGATCTTGCACCAGCAGTACGTAGTGTTTAGAGATGATTGCAACGATGACGCAATTCATTTCGTCAGATCAGCAAGAATTATCCAGAGAGATATGCTAGAGTTGAAAAGCACATTTAATGGTCTTTTCGAACCCAACTGCCAGATCGAGTCTATACCAACATCACTGCTAGCTTTAGTTAACTTGATTCTGTATGGACCAAGCATTCAGACCCAAGCTTCTTCTTATGCAAAATCCCAAGCAGGACTTAGTATTTCTGCTGCAATATAATAGCTTCGTATGTCGGCGGGATGCAGATCGTAAACGAGAATGCCATAATAAGGCAAGAGAGACACCACTTCCAATCTACATTGGGTTAACGCTTCACGCTAAAACCTGCAGCCGTGACCTTGTAGAGAAGCTACGTGAATTGGGATTGTCGATATCGTATGACAGAGTACTCACCATTTCAACAGACTTGGGAAACTCTATTTGCCGTCAGTGCCATCAAGATGATGTTGTGTGTCCACTAAGTCTTCGTAAGGGGTTGTTCACGTCATCCGCCGTCGATAACATCAACCATAACCCAAGCTCGACAACTGCTCATGACTCGTTTCATGGCACTGGGGTATCACTTTTTCAGCAACCCACAGCTCAAGTTCCAGGGGTTTGCAGAAACAGAGTATCCCTTAACCAGGCCACTTCCACTGGTAAAGTCAGTTTTCTGAATTACCAGAGTCCTACAACCAAGTTCCCCCAGTTTTACTTCCTAGTAAGAATCCATCTGTGTCCGTGGTGCAAAGTGGCATGTGAGGAAATGGTGAGATTGTTGCAAAAGCAATTGCAGAAGAATTTGAATGGCTGGAAGAGGTGAAAGAAACAGTTTCAAATGCTAGTCAGGGTCTGCCACAGAAAAAATGCATTTCATGGTCAGTCTATCAGTCAAACCAAGATGGAAAAGAAGACAAAAACCCTGAGCCTGCGATATGATCTCTGTTGCCCCTCTTTCCTGACCACACGAAATCAGCTGCAATGATATGCCATTCCTTGAACATCATCAAAACATGCGTAGACCACCTTAACTACAGTCAGATTCCAGTAGTAGCTATTAGGTGGCATGCCTGTGAACTAGCTAGGTGTAGCTAAGCACATTGACCACTATAAACAACAACCAACAACACTTTGAATTTGGATCAGCCATTGTACGCAGTAGCTAAGCAGATTCAATGGAATTTTCCAGAAAGGTATGGAGAGAGGCGATTTGTTATCATGTTCAGAGGGCTTCACATTGAAATGGCCTTCCAGAAAGCTATTGGAGGGTGGTTGGAGGGAAGCGGATGGGAGGCTGCTCTAACTGAAGCCAACGTTGCATCAGCAGGTCCTGCAGACTCTTTCCTCAAGGCCACAAGCGTCACCCATACACGTTGTGCTCATCAGGTAACAGCAAGTAGTCTCTATGTGCTTCTAACCAAGTCATACACAAGCTATAAAGAGAGTTTAGAGCCAGAAGCTGATGTTGTGTCATTCAGTGATTGGTGTCTGAAGAAGGTAGCTTCTTTCCCACAGTTCCACGTTTGGTACCTCACACTTCAACTGGAACTGCTGCTACTGGCGTTTGTAAGGTCATTCCAGGAGGCCAATTTTGAGCTCTACATTGAGGCACTTTCGAAGATGGTTCCATGGTTCTTTTCGCTGGACCATACAAATTATGCTAGATGGTTACCAATTCACCTACGATATATGTACTGTCTGAATGATGTAGCACCAGATGTTGCTGTTCAATTCCAGCAGGGAAAGTTTGCTGTGAGCAAGACATCAAACCCTTTCTCAGCTATCCCAATTGACCAAGCTCATGAACAAAACAATGCTCTTGTGAAAGGAGAGGGTGGAGCTGTGGGGTTGACAGTTGAGGCCAGCATGGTAACAGAATGCACAGAGACTGGGCAGAGTGCAAAACACCATGAAGATACCAGAAGTTTACAATCGCTGTTTTATAGAGATGTTGTATCGCTTACCACAACAATTGAAGAAATGGGCAACCCCTTCATGGAGGAAACCGACAATCTCTTTGCCTTAGATACCAAACAGATAATGAGTTTGGATGCATTGGTAAGACTGCGCAAGGGAGAAGAGGTTGGAATGGCACAGTATGAGTCTTTCATAGCTGAACGCTTGATGCAGGAAAGCAAGTCACTGTGTACCCCAATAAAGAGGAACAATCTTCGTGTGTTTAATGACCCTGCATCAAACGTGGCATCTAAGACCAAGCAGCAATTGTCATCTGTAAGGAATGATTGCTTGCTCTTTTCAAGGTTATACATCTCTTGCCAGATGAGGGAAGGAATCTGGATGAGTTTTTCCAGCATGAAAACCAAAGTTGTCCACCAGCGCTGTCACAGGATGGTAAGTTGCGCCTACTTCAGGAAAAGTCGGAACTAGCAGTATGTCTCCTGTCCTTCACAACTCCACAATTGAACGTGCCCAAAGAAATCGATGCCATCATCATCAATGGATCAGTAATAGTAAATATGATCAAGCCTACAACAGAAAAGACACTTGCAGAATATTCAAGACAGTCCTTTCTGCCCTACATTCAATCTCAGCTCTCTCATGCAAAGTGCCTTGATGTCATATAGGATGAATATATTACAAACAGTTTAAAGGCCACTACTAGAAGTAAACGAGGGCAGGGAGCCAGGAGGCATGTACAGCCGTCCAGTCAAATACCACGCAACTGGCAGCAGTTCCTACAGAGTGAAGAAAACAAGCAAGAACTTTTCCAATTTCTCGCTCAATGTTTAGTATCCTTATATGAAGAAAAGTTTTTAAATTTTAAATTGTTAATTATTTACGTAATAGATATTTTAAAATTTTAAATTTTAGATTGTAATTNGTAGAGCCCTGGAGTTCATTATGTACAAATGATCATTAATGAACAAGTTCAGTGGTAGGGTTGAATAAAAATGTCTACAACAACAGACCAAAAAACAGTTGGCAACCATGGTAACATGCCACCATTTTATATGTACACACAAGAGAAGAAACTCAGTGATCCGTGATAAACGCGTGGAGGTGTAGTGCACTACAAAAACTTCTATGCCTATTCAAGCTTCATAAAACAGGCTGGGTATAACTAAGTTGTAAATATTCCAGTGTAACATTAAGTACCAACCATTTGATTAAGGGCATCATGAGCTTCATTTTCTGAAAGGTTGGAAATTACTGCAGTAAGAATGCCATGGCACTTCTCTAATCTCTGAAATTGAACAGTCAGAATAACAACTGTTAGTAGAGGTATAAAGATACTGCAATTTGATTAGCTGAGCTACTTGTATTCCCATCAGCCATCAGCCAATCATATCACCCATTAGCTCACAGTAGCTGGTCAGGAGGTACTTTACAAAATGGAGATGCTTTCTAATTCTTAAGAAAGATTTAAAAAAACAGTAAGTGCTCAAATTTAGCTGTCTTTGAGTCATCTGAGATGACCTAAACGTTTACCAGGCAGATGATGAGCTGTATGAATTTTGCAATAATTAAAACCTTGACTGAAATTTTTAAGATGGGAAACAGACAGGAAAATTAAGAAGAATTTGAGTGCTGCATTTCCCCATGATATAACGCTATATAAATAACGTATAGTCAGGTAGTTATGTGCAGAATATTACATGAATTGTGCACTTTCGGCTAAAAGCGTGAAATTTGGTGTAAGTGTAGGGTTTTTATGCCCATCAACATCTGATATGGAGCCAGTGTAAAAATGTACTCAGTGGGGTGTTATAGGGGTGTTTCCAACATGGCCGCCATTTTGACCGGAAGTAGAATGTAAAATTACCGGAAGTTATCAGAGGAGAATCAAAACACCCTGGAAAGACATTTTGTCTTAATCCAAGATACAAAAATGTCTTATTTAAATGTTGAGGGAGGAAAAAAGTGAAAAACATGGGCAATGCATCCTATATTCCACAATGACAGCAACACCGAAAGTGAGAAGGCCCTTGATTATGAAATGTTTCGTTTGAGAACAAGCATATGATAAGGTTGAGAGTGATTGTGCAATGCGCTCTCTTATACTTATATTCAATTTTATATTTATACTTATACAAGAAACAAGAATACTTAAAAAAATACAGCCCTATCTTGCAATTTATGACATCTATTTATTTTCCTGTAAACTACTTCAATTTAATCTTAAGGTCAGCTTGCATTGAGGTTTTGTTATGTACCGATATAGGATAGGAAAAAAAGTGTGTAAAAGACTTGCCGCAAAATTTATTTACAACTTACGGTGTCAAAACAGTGGAGCATTTCTGCTCAAACAAAATTGGCCGGGAGAGACTGGTTCAGTTACCCACAGTACTCCATGGCCTTAAAAGTTTTGGCATGGATGGCAGCCAATTAAGTATTTGTATGTTTTTTTTCCCATCAAATGCAAGCAAACAGAAAACGTTTTGTGTCCCTTACTGAACAGAACCGAGTGAAATTATAATGAACACTCCAAGTAGAGTTTGGCATCATTTCAATGCAAAGAATGTAGCGAATCTAGTAATAGTGGCCAAAATTTAGATAATCAAGAGATGAAGCAGATATAAAATTATATCATTTCCTCAAAGGCCATAAAGCAGGATGACCAAGGCAGCTCGAGCATCATTTTTCCTAAACGTTTAGTCATTCAAGAGCAAGTATTTATTGCGAGTTTTACTTCATTTAATGACCACTTTCATCCATTTCAATTAAAATATTTAGGTCCGATTGAGTACGTTTGAATGAATTTTATTTCTTAACGTGACATCTATAGTCAGATTCATTAAGCTGGTCATGTCAATGGTAGGACGAATAAACCGATTGGCAGGGAATCATTTTTCTAGTATTTTTCAATTAAATTCACAGCCAAATGATGAACGAAAAGTCAGCAAGTTCAAAGACTGGCTGGAATCTAAGTGTTGTATGTCAAGGGAGTAAGGCCGAGACACTTCAGTGCCCTGTAGACTCAAAGAGGTCAGATGTTGGGGCAGGTTACAAGACCCTTGCAGAAAATAATCACCAATTTAATCAACTGGGATGAATGCCAGTTCAAATAAACTTATCTACACTGAATGAAGGTGACGGAATAGAAAGTACGTTTTTGCGTTACAAGGCCCGATAGCATAAGAGTTACTATTTGCCAAAAAAGAGCATGCTCCAACACCACATGAATCAGTGAACAGTAAATATACCCGATCTAGTGCCTCAACCTCTTCACAGGTAGACGACTCGGAGAAGAGTTGCTATTTTTGTGTTCTGCTGGGTGCCTTGAAAAATCTGCTTCGTAATGTTTGCACTTTTGAATTGGATGCTAGTGTCCGGAAATGTGCCTTTGTTCTTCAAGATCAGAAGCTGTTGGCCAAATTGAGTGCCAGAGATTTGCTAGCTTTAGAAGCAAGCTATCATTCTTTGTGTATAACTTCGCTGTACAAGAGAGCTGAAACAGTTTGCATAGACGAGGCCGCTGATACCAAATTTCAGCTTGAAGGTACTACACCTGCAGCGTTTATCACCTATATTGAAGATGCTCGTGAATCCAGAGATTCAATTACTGTATTCAAATTGGTTGATCTAGCTAATGTGTATACCACACAGATGGAGCAGTTGGGTGCAGATAAAGGCCCGTGTCCATACTACACGACTAAAAGAGCACCTTTTATCCCACATTCCTGAGCTTGAAGCCTACAAACAAGACTGTGACATTTTCCTTGGTTTCAAGGAAGATCTTGCACCAGCAGTACGTAGTGTTTAGAGATGATTGCAACGATGACGCAATTCATTTCGTCAGATCAGCAAGAATTATCCAGAGAGATATGCTAGAGTTGAAAAGCACATTTAATGGTCTTTTCGAACCCAACTGCCAGATCGAGTCTATACCAACATCACTGCTAGCTTTAGTTAACTTGATTCTGTATGGACCAAGCATTCAGACCCAAGCTTCTTCTTATGCAAAATCCCAAGCAGGACTTAGTATTTCTGCTGCAATATAATAGCTTCGTATGTCGGCGGGATGCAGATCGTAAACGAGAATGCCATAATAAGGCAAGAGAGACACCACTTCCAATCTACATTGGGTTAACGCTTCACGCTAAAACCTGCAGCCGTGACCTTGTAGAGAAGCTACGTGAATTGGGATTGTCGATATCGTATGACAGAGTACTCACCATTTCAACAGACTTGGGAAACTCTATTTGCCGTCAGTGCCATCAAGATGATGTTGTGTGTCCACTAAGTCTTCGTAAGGGGTTGTTCACGTCATCCGCCGTCGATAACATCAACCATAACCCAAGCTCGACAACTGCTCATGACTCGTTTCATGGCACTGGGGTATCACTTTTTCAGCAACCCACAGCTCAAGTTCCAGGGGTTTGCAGAAACAGAGTATCCCTTAACCAGGCCACTTCCACTGGTAAAGTCAGTTTTCTGAATTACCAGAGTCCTACAACCAAGTTCCCCCAGTTTTACTTCCTAGTAAGAATCCATCTGTGTCCGTGGTGCAAAGTGGCATGTGAGGAAATGGTGAGATTGTTGCAAAAGCAATTGCAGAAGAATTTGAATGGCTGGAAGAGGTGAAAGAAACAGTTTCAAATGCTAGTCAGGGTCTGCCACAGAAAAAATGCATTTCATGGTCAGTCTATCAGTCAAACCAAGATGGAAAAGAAGACAAAAACCCTGAGCCTGCGATATGATCTCTGTTGCCCCTCTTTCCTGACCACACGAAATCAGCTGCAATGATATGCCATTCCTTGAACATCATCAAAACATGCGTAGACCACCTTAACTACAGTCAGATTCCAGTAGTAGCTATTAGGTGGCATGCCTGTGAACTAGCTAGGTGTAGCTAAGCACATTGACCACTATAAACAACAACCAACAACACTTTGAATTTGGATCAGCCATTGTACGCAGTAGCTAAGCAGATTCAATGGAATTTTCCAGAAAGGTATGGAGAGAGGCGATTTGTTATCATGTTCAGAGGGCTTCACATTGAAATGGCCTTCCAGAAAGCTATTGGAGGGTGGTTGGAGGGAAGCGGATGGGAGGCTGCTCTAACTGAAGCCAACGTTGCATCAGCAGGTCCTGCAGACTCTTTCCTCAAGGCCACAAGCGTCACCCATACACGTTGTGCTCATCAGGTAACAGCAAGTAGTCTCTATGTGCTTCTAACCAAGTCATACACAAGCTATAAAGAGAGTTTAGAGCCAGAAGCTGATGTTGTGTCATTCAGTGATTGGTGTCTGAAGAAGGTAGCTTCTTTCCCACAGTTCCACGTTTGGTACCTCACACTTCAACTGGAACTGCTGCTACTGGCGTTTGTAAGGTCATTCCAGGAGGCCAATTTTGAGCTCTACATTGAGGCACTTTCGAAGATGGTTCCATGGTTCTTTTCGCTGGACCATACAAATTATGCTAGATGGTTACCAATTCACCTACGATATATGTACTGTCTGAATGATGTAGCACCAGATGTTGCTGTTCAATTCCAGCAGGGAAAGTTTGCTGTGAGCAAGACATCAAACCCTTTCTCAGCTATCCCAATTGACCAAGCTCATGAACAAAACAATGCTCTTGTGAAAGGAGAGGGTGGAGCTGTGGGGTTGACAGTTGAGGCCAGCATGGTAACAGAATGCACAGAGACTGGGCAGAGTGCAAAACACCATGAAGATACCAGAAGTTTACAATCGCTGTTTTATAGAGATGTTGTATCGCTTACCACAACAATTGAAGAAATGGGCAACCCCTTCATGGAGGAAACCGACAATCTCTTTGCCTTAGATACCAAACAGATAATGAGTTTGGATGCATTGGTAAGACTGCGCAAGGGAGAAGAGGTTGGAATGGCACAGTATGA